AGAAACTCGGTAATATGTGTTAAAATTATAACTAATTTAATCTTTCGGATGGATCCAAAACATAGACAAGTATAAGGATCTCATATTCACATTATGAATATGCTTTGGCCAGCATGCTAAGCCATGTTAAGATTTCCAAAAGTAAACAAGCAAATCTGCCATATAGACTCTTAAATATTTTTGTGTCTGTGGAAAAGAAATTTTATGTTTTGAGGTTGACTGCTTGCTTACAGGCATTTCAATACCCATCTAGGAAATATCATCAGCGTGAGTATGGGTTTGCTGCCTGTCTATATGCAGAAGCTTGCCTTGTCAGTTTTTCTGGGGATTGGCCTGTTTGTTCATTTATATCATACCTTTATTATTTTTGCATAACTCAAGGTGGCGAACATATTCAACACATACCTGCCTTCTATTTTCCCCACAACAGAAACCCTGTGAGGTAGGTTGGGCTGAGAGAGAGTGACAGGATTAGAGATTTTGGACTCCTGCTTTCTAGCCTGAGGCCTTAATGACTAGATCAGAGTGGCTTTCTTTTTCCTATACTTACCTTGGACGTAGGATAAGATCAGCAACATAGATTGTATGACATATTTAACCATGTCAAGTACCAAACTAGCAGCAGCAATAATGTGCTAAATTTGAAGGGGGAGAGGGAGTGGGTGTCCTGTGGCTTAATTATATAAACCAGGATAATCTGGTTAATTGTTTTGCATATTACATGAGCAGAAAATCTATTAATTTGGTAACTGGATTAAAAATGTTCAACAAACAACTAGCAAGTTGGCACTCGAACAGCAGCATACACAATATCCATAATGATGTATACTAATTGAGTAAGGATTTAATTTGAGGAATCTGCAGACATTAGGGGATAGGGGAAATTTTGGGTATCGGTGTTTCTAAGGAACCAGACTCTTTGTTATCATCAAGCTTAATTTGAAAAACTGAGCCTAATTTATTTAATTAGGAGGATCCTCATTAATGTTTTAATTGTGCTTCGGTCATTTCATACAAGAGAGAGGTACATCACATTATCTCAAATTCTATTTATATCTACTAGCTATATACTATTGAGGGATGTCTTGATCAGATGAAATTAGATTTTTTTTAGCCCAAATTTCTTCCCTACATCTTCTCCTGCTTTTAATGGAGAATTCTATGTATGTGTGGCAGAATTGAAGAGCTTCACAATCACTGCTTTAATGTCACATGGCTATCACAAATATGGGAAAGGATACCTCAGAAATGAAGAATTAATGACAGAGTTATAGCATAACAGTATGGTTTTGGGAGACATCACTAAAGTCAAATATAGTTGTCACTGATATGTCACAGACGACTAGACTTTTTACCCATCGGAACGCCTCAGAAGTCAGCTTTCCTCAAGATTTAGAAAAAGCTTTAATCTGACAGCTCAATCTATATGTGGAAAAGCAAAACCCACCATTTTCTATAGTTTATGAAGATCCAGATGCACTTATCACAGAAAAGACACATCTGAAATGCTGAGTCTCTTTAGTCAAGGTTAACATTTGCCCAGAAGGCAAATATGTATTGTTTGGAAAAAAAAGCCTGCTCACTGCATCAAGATGTGCAGAGGTTAAATGTAACAAACTATCATCACCGAACATCTGCTCACGGGGACGGTTCCAATTAAAACAAACATTTTAATCTGCAGCTAAATACATTAAATTGTTTTTGTTAGCTTGTTTGTACGTTTTATTGTTGACATTTTTATAGTGCTATGGAATTATGTTTGTACGCCACCTGGAGGACCTAGTTGATAAAAAGAGGGGATTATAAAACTTTCGCACGTTGGATCTACCCTTTCGAGTAGATCCATGGAAATAAATGGAAATCAATTTGTCGTGATTAACTTAAGCTCCGTTGATTTCATTGAATTTAATCTAGATATAATTAAGCCTAGACCCAACCCATAATAATTAAATGACTCTGTTAGTGTGCTCACATCTAATTATAGGTGAATATTGGAGTTTCTAAACTATGCTTGTAGATCCTAAATTTCATTCTCCCAAGCATCTGAATTATCATTCTTAACCTGACAGTATTTTGGCACCATCTAGTGGCTATTAAATATTGAAAAAAATGGTAAAGGAGCCTGAACAGATTACACGCCATAAAATATATATAAAATAACTGCAGAATGCACACACTCAATTGCATGAAACACACGGGAGTGCAAATTGTATACCTCCTTAACAATTTTTTTAAAGCAGCTTTCCCTAATGGATGGATGGGCATGTAGCGAAAGCAAAATCTCACACTGAAACCTTATTGTTTTTTTCAAAGAAATCGCTTTATCAAAAAATAAAAAATGCTCAAAGACCAAAAACTAAGGTTTTATTTAAAAAGTCACTAGGAAAAGGCTCCGGGAATAAAACAAAAACCAATTCAGAAACTGGTGGCATAGGACAAAGCTTTTCAAATGAATAAGAAATAGCTTACTCGCTTTGAAAATTAAACACAGTTCTTCTCAATCTGTATTCAAAGATAAAATGAGCTGTTCCAGTCCTCAAAATCTTTGTTCTTTTCAAGTGAATGGCTTCATACATTTTGAAATACCTGCACATAAGTAACTGGAGTGCATGGAGCAACATTTCATAATAGAGTGATAATATAAAGAACAATGTGTAGGTCACTGTTCTCTATGTATTGATTATAGCCTCCCAAAATATTTTCAGGCAGTACTTTACACAGTGCATCACATTATTATCAACATGCATTCATCACCTGCTATTACACTGTAGAAATGTAGTTTTGGAAATATAACCAACAGAGGGATATGCAATTACTAGACAATTTATGACACAGCCCTATAAGCTTTTGTGGGAAGTATTTCCAACGAATCTAAACGCAAGTCCTAAGCCTTGCATTATATAGCCATGTCACTGCACCCACTCCTTGTTTAGCAACCAGCCTGGTTAGTGACCATTCGCAAATAAGATGGCAATAATTCATTTTCCAATCAGTGTCCATATTTATGACTAAATTTTGTGCACCTGACAACGATGCACACTGGAAGGAGTAACACTAGTGTACTTTAGCTGTACAAGAGAACTTAATGTAATCTTCATAGTATGCCTCTATCTTTCTCTGTCAGGTGTTCATTCAGCAATCATTTCACTTAACAACCTGATTGTTGAAATGAAAGTCAGTCGCTAAATAAAGAGTAGATGGACAAAGCCTTCAGCTTGCCCAAATATCTACTGTAAATTATTCTTCCGGTGCCTATCCAGTTCCCATTTTAGTACAGGTGTCATTCAGACCCATATATATATATATATATATATTATATATATATATATATAACCAAATGCTACATCCAGATTCTGATGTATCTCGTGAAACTACACATCGACAAAATACTAAATTCCCACTTGATGTTCATTAAAGAAGCTAGTTTATGGCCTTTCCCCTCTCTATATTTTGTAACATCATTTAATATTTAAAACATTTAAAATTCCACTCAGTATCAAGGATGCAGCTGTAGAGGTGATCAACAGTATTAAGTATCTGGAAGTGCTGGATAATTAACAATCTGGTCTCTCCACAAGTCATCCTTAGTGAAACATGCAAACCAGCATCTGCATTTCTTGCATCGGATGAGGAGAGTACATCTTTCTCCTGTCCTGGCCATTTTTTATAGAGCATTTTAACAAACTGCATCACTGTTTGGTTTAGTGGCAGCAGTGCCTCAGATAGAAAGTCCATTCAGAGAGTGGTAAGGATAGCGGAGAAGATTATAGGAACCTCACTTCCTGTCATTCAGGATACTGCTTATAAGAGCTATGTGCTTAAAGCGCAAAGCATCGAGACTCCACACAACCACTTTACGGTCTGTTTCTGTTTCTCCCCTCTGGGAGGAGGTTTCGAAGTATTTTTAGCAGGACTACCAGATTCTGTAACAGCTTTGTTCTCTATGCCATCCGTCTGGAAAACTCGCAAGGTTCGTTTTTCTCGCCATGTACATGTTTACATCTGAATGAGACTGTTTTTTTTTTTAAATTTGATTTATATGCCGCCCTTGACATGTTTCTCCATGTCATATAATATTTATGGATATATGCATAATTTTGTATGTATGTATGTATTTTGTCATGTTTATGTAGTGTATATTGGAGGTGGTGACCCTTTGAGAGCTGTATGTAAAGAAATTTCATTTTAACGTATGCCGATTAGTGTACATTCAAAGTGACAATAAAGTTATTCTAGGTCTAACCAAAGTTATTCTAATTACTATAATGTGAATATTAGTTTTCGCCAAGCCTTTCCTCACACTAGGAATGTTGAACTAATCTCCAACTTCATCAGCACAGTCTTCCATTTCTCTTTAATATTTTGGGACAGTAATAGGTTCCAATTCACTTTGCTTTCTTTGATTCTATTCCTTAGCAGATAATTAACCTTCAGTGCTGGACAGCAAACGGGGCTCTAGACTGTGTGCTGCCCACTTACTTATTACGATGACCATTCAAAGTCAGTGTATCTTTCCAAGACAGACTCCAAAGCTTTAATCTGATGATGGATGAGAATGCATTAAGGATCCTAATGTTTTTCCAATAATTAAGAAATAAATGTTTGCTCCAGAGTCAAAATGGTCGTAGAGCATACATTTTTAAACTCTGGCACATCTGATAATAAATATTTACAGTGATCTGACATGATATATAAATTTCCATTCACAAATAAATGCCTATATTTTACAAAGTAAATTTCCCTTTGATTTTTTTTTAAAAGAAAAAAACTTTGATACTGGTTGACATGCGGTTTCCCCCCCCCCTTTCTTAACGATCTTTTTAAGAAGTGGGGTGTGTATGTGTGTGTACAATTTTCAAGTTTTATAGACAAATGTTTTTTTTCTTCAACCAATTGCCTCAGTCTAAGAAGGAAAAGCAAATCGTCATAATCCAGCCCATTTCAAAAGTCTTCAGTTCCCTTTTGCAGTGAGTCTCCTTGCAAGAGTCAATAGGCTGCTCTTTTTCATCCGCTCCTATAAACACAACAGCCATTAGGGCCACTCTCTAAACAATCGCTTTGGATTATTTAAAAAGGGGTCAATAAGATCAATCATTATGTATCATCCAAGTATTTATGCTTGTCTGCTTTTGCATACAAATAAGGAGGAGTCCTTTTTGTCAAGGGCGGAACACCCTAAATCAAAATTTGCAAGCATTCCAGCTACAAACAGTGCAAATTAGAATCAATATCATTCTTATGCTTTTTTTCCCCCTATACTCTCAATGGCAAGGGATACAGATAAGGGATAAGGGATACCTGTGTGGTGTAAAGAAAATAATCTCACACTTAACACCAAAAAAACTAAAGAACTTATAATTGACTTCAGGAGGAAGAGAGATGTACATTTATCATTGTACATAAATGGTGAGGAGGTGGAGAGGGGGGGTAGTTTTAAATTTCTGGGCATTTATATCTCGGAGGACCTCTCATGGACTATGAATGTTAACATGCTTGTGAAGAAGGCACAGAAGAGGCTGTACTTCCTGAGAATGCTCAGGAAGGTAAATCTATCTCAACATCTACTTCTGTCCTACTATTGCAGCACCATTGAGAGTGTCCTGACATACGGCATTCTTGCATGGTATGGGAGCAGCTCTGTAGCGGACAAAAAAGCTCTACAGAGAATCGTTAAAACTGCCCAGAATATCATTGGGCTCCAGATACCAGCCCTGGATGACATCTTTGAATCTCACTGTTTGAGAAAGTTGCATAACATTCTCAGAGACTCTTCCCAACCTGCTTACAATCTTTTTGGACTGTTGCCTTCTGGCAGAAGATACAGAACAATTAAAACTCGGACCACACATTTTCTGAATAGTTTTTATCCCAGAGCCATAATTGCACTCAACAATCAACTAAAGGGCCACCATGAGTGAGCTGTTGGACAGCATTACTTGGTCTGTTGTGTGGATGTTTGGATGGTTTAGGGGTGGGGAATTGTAATGGGTGGGAATGTGTTTGGGGATTGTTATGTGTGTTGGACCTGGTCTTTGGGTGTTAAGTGAATTTCGCTGTATGGGTATATTGTGTATACACGTATAATGTTATTATTATTTAATATTGTGGTTATTTCCATAAGAAACGACAAGAAATTTAGTAACAGGGACCTATCTATTCTAGGCCCATTTGGACTTTCGGAAGGTGCATCACAATTAAATGAAACATAGCCAATGATGTACATTCAGGAGTGTCAAACTCGCGGCCTCACGGCAGAGTCATATAACATATCGGGATTTTTTCCCCCCTTTTGCTACACCAGGCGTGGGCGTGGCCAGCGCGTGATGCATCTGGCCTGCGAGTTTGACAGCCCTGCCTGATGTACATTCATGGAAAATTATTTAGGAAATACTATTCAATTCTATACAATTGAATTGTATACAATTGTATACTGTACATTCTCCCTCCACACACACCCCAAAAAACTTTACAGCCCTCTCTAAGCGGTTTACAGAGTCAGCCTATTGCCCCCAACAATCTGGGTCCTCATTTTACCCACCTCGGAAGGATGGAAGGCTGAATCAACCTTGAGCCTGGTGAGATTCAATCTGCCAAACTGCTGGCAGCTGGTGATCAGCAGAAGTAGCCTGCAGTACTGCACTCTAACCACTGCGCCACCGCGTTTTATAATCCCATGGAGAAAACTGCTACGGTAACAAATTAAAATATTTCATCCATACACCTGCCATCTCATGTGTAATGAAACATGTACACCCACAAGGAAGCAAACAGAGGAATGATTAATGAGTAAAACTAAATGTGCAGGTAGTCCTCAGTTAACAATGACAATGGGTACCAATAACTTTGTCAAGAAGTGACAATGACTACACTGATTTATGACAACAGTTCCAGCAGCTCTATTGCCATTAAAAGAACCTTGTCATGTGATCGCTATTTGCGACCTCCTGCTGGCTTCCCCATTGCCTTTGCTTGTTGGAATCTAGCAGCGGGAGTTGCAAATAGTAGCCATATGACCACAGGATGCTGCAATCATTGTAATTGCAAGCCAGTTGCCAAGTGCCTGAATCAGGATCACAAGACCAAGGGGAAGCTGCAATGGCCACAACTTTGAGGACCAGGCACAAGTCTCCTCATTCAGCCCTGTCATAACTTTGAATGGTTGCTGAATAAATGGTCATTAACCGAGGATTACCTGTATAATGACAGTATAATGTGAAATGCATATAGCAATAGAAACAAAAACATGGATAAGTGTATTTCAGAAAGACACTTCCCTTTTAATTAAAAATGAAGTCAGAGTGCCAGATCGGGATTGCACTGCTAAGGACTTGGCCCCTCTGTGAATTTCATGCCAAAATCCCCTTCCCTCAGCTGTGATTTGCTACTTTAAAAAAAGTGTAACATTTAAGCAAGTCATACCTAAGCTGCATTATCAACCTGATTTCTTAGCTTTTCCATTACATAAAAAAAAATACTGACTAGATGCAGCTCAGCTGGATTTTCATTTCCAGATCACTGTCAGTGCTGAGGAAGGAAGGAAGGAAGGAAGGAAGGGAGGGAGGGAGGGAGGGAGGGAGGGAGGGAGATACGAGGCTGCAAAGGTCTTGCTACATGTCACAAAAAGAAGCAGGGGGGGGGGGAAAGGTCCAGTGTGCTTATCTTTCACTTCACTGCTCTGAAGCAATGAAGCTGACAATCCTAAAATAAATAGGAAGATTATAGTGCAAACATGGTCACCTTAAATAGATCATGCATAATGCAAATTCCTCAAGTAAATTAGGACAGGGATTGTCAGTAAGAAAGTAATAATACAGAAATAACATGCTTGGAGGGAGACATTATATATGACTCCTGCCCATTTAACCTTTTTCACTTCTCCCTCTTCAAACAAGTTCATAATTCATGATTCTACTTCAAAAGAGCCGACATTCTGAACACTTTAGTATTTAAAAACTCTGCAAAGGAGGCCAATTATCTGACCTAGAATTCATCATGTTTTCTCCTAAATGGCCATTTGGAGTGTTGTGACACATGATCAGCTGCCAACAGAACCAGACGGACAAATTCTTCCACATCGAAGGTGTAATTTGTAAACTTTGGATGTTTTCCTAATGTCGGGTGATGCCCCTGAAGAAATAGGAGTTAAAATTATTTTAAGGAAGCACGGAGGTAAAACTAGCATATTGAGTAATTATAATAATTCATAATAGCTGATTTATTGATCCACCCCAAAACTACCATATCAGTTAGAAACCCCTCACAGCAACGCTATTGACAGCCTAAACTAATGGGCAATTAATTTCATTACTCTTCCTCCCCCAGCTATTAATATAAAATGACTCCTTAATCAGAGCAGAGAATTTAATTTGGGCTGTAGAACAGAATCATATTTCATGTAGAAGAACTGAGAAGGGTAATACAAAAACAATTAAGACCCAAGGAAATAAAGTCCTTTCCATCCATCCCACCACACCTTCTAGTACCTCATCCTGAGGGAACACTTTATCCTTCTTCTGCCAGGTGATGTAATGGATGCCTCTCAGCCTTGCAAGATCTAAGTAGCAACGTTCATCTTTACAATTGTACCTACGGAGATGCAGAAATGATGGGGATTTTATCAGAGACAGTTTTACCAGAAAACTAACCAGCTGTGTTTTTCTTTTTCCAGCTCTGTCCCTATAGAAAGGAGAAGCAAGTTATGGAAAGCCAAAGATCAAATATTTCATGTTTATCTTTGCCGGTGTGTAGTTGCATCTCCTATGAAACCAGAGAATAGAGAGAACAGGAAACTGCAGCAGCCACACAGTTTTAAAATATAGTATCTTCACGGACAGCAAGAGTAATCCAATTGACAAACTTGGCCATGTTCTCATGAGAGAAAAGATAAAGAAAGAAGCAGCCACAAAGAGCAAGCATATCGCCTTTGTGGTTGATAGTCACATGACTTGCCTCAGAGTGAAAGATTAGATGTGATTTTTAAGGTCTGTTTAAAAATGATCCAGGCAACAACTAGTTTTTCTGACAAACCACCCAGAAAAGGAGACTGGGTTTAGCCTGGAGGCTGCCTGCTGTCAACCTCAATCCAATAAAAGTCAGCAAACAGGGTTACCACATCGATTCGAAGAAGCATTTCTTGATTTTTACCAATTACCACCCAGGTAATTTTGACAGCTCCTGTGACACAGGAAGTCGCGCCATCCTTCACTGTCACGCATATATTAAAAAACACAAATTTGGAGCTTTCTCCGCAGCAGGAAATCCATCTTCGTGTACTGCATGCCCACACCCTCATACAAAGATATTAAACATACAAGCATAACTGCCAAGGAAAGACTTACAGTTCAAAGATGACAGCCCAATCTGGCAAAAAGAGAAGATGAGTAAGGCCTGCTCCATGCATTCCAATGAAGATATCAGAATTGTGGGTTATCTTCAGCTGCTCCTTAAATTCGAGCTCCCTATATAAACCAGCATAAGTAAGACTATATATACGTATGTACACACACACACAAAATCCCAACATATACTTACACACAGACACACACAGATGCACACACACACACATTCAAGTACAAATCTATATATACACAAGTATGTGCATGTCAGAAAAAGCACAAGAGATCACTATTTGAACACAGCTCAAGGCTATGAAAAAAGTCATCTTGGAATGTAATGCATAAGAAACACATTAAAATAAAAATGTCCTTGAGCTACATCATCTTGTGTATTTCTAAACTGCCTCACAACTACACTTCCCTAGGTAGTTTGCAAATCTATTTAAATGTACAATATAAATCAAAGAGACGCAAAATGACCAAACGACAGCATGATAGTGATTAAAACCACTAGCAATAATAGCAAATGAAAATGCAGCTGACAAAAATCAAAGTAGAGCCAACGGCAAAACAGAAACAGGATTTCCTAAAGTGCCTGAAATAATAACATCTTTCAAAATGTTCATCCTGCACATTATTTCTGGGGAAATAATTTCACCGATGGGTACCAGCAATAAGAAGTCTCCTTCTCTAACAAAATGAAATTCAATGGTGAAAAAAGTAAGGTTCTACATTTAGGCAAGAAAAGCAAAATGCACAGGTGCAATATATGTGGTATTTGGCTCAATAGTAGCAATTGTGAGAGGGATCTTGGAGTCCAAGTGGACAAATGTTTAAATATAAGCCAAGCAGTGTGCTGCACCTGCCAAAAAAGCCAACACAGTTCTAGGCTGCATAAACAGAGGGATAGAATCAAGATCAAGTGAAGTGTTAATACCACTTTATAATGCCTTGGTAAGGCCACACTTGGAATACTGCATCCAGTTTTGGTCACCATGATGTAAAAAGGATGTTGAAACTCTAGGAAGAGCGCAGAGAAGAGCAACAAAGATGATTAGAGGACTGGAGGCTAAAACATATGAAGAACAGTTGCAGGAACTGTGTATGTCTAGTTTAATGAAAAGAAGGATTAGGGGTGACATGATAGCAGTGTTCCAATATCTCAGGGGTTACCACAAGGAAGAGAGAGTCAAGCTATTCTCCAAAGCACCTGAGGGTAGAACAAGAAGCAATGGGTGGAAACTAATCAAGGAAAGAAGCAACCTAGAACTAAGAAGAAATTTCCAGACAGAACAATTAATCAGTGGAACAACTTGCCTCCAGAAGTTGTGAATGCTTCAACACTGGAAGTTTTTAAGAGATTGGACAATCATTTGTCAGAAATGGTATAGGGTTTCCTGCCTAAGCAGGGGGTTGGACTTGAACACCTCCAAGGTCCCTTTCCAACTCTATTATTCTATTCTAAGGTACCTGGAGAAGGGTCTATGATTAAGACTGGTCAGACAATGGATCTATTCACTGCAGTATCTGACTGCCTAGAAGCACCTGACAAGACTGCCATGCAAATATACATTTTTTAAAAATGTGTATTTCATTGTCTAGGACCAAATCTGCTGCCACCTCCTCTGGCCGCTGGTGGGCCACAACAATGACCTTCAAAGCCCTACACGGCATGGGCCCAAGCTATCTAAAAAACCATCCTCAACCCATCACATTAACCTGTACCACCTGGATAGGAAGGGAAAATATCTTCTTTTAACCCTCTCAGTTAAAAGAATTTTGACTGGCAGTCTGGGAAGAGAGCCTTTTCTCACACTGTCCCTGCTCTTTGGAACATTCTCTCCCTCCTCAGTTAAGCAAGGTGAGCCCCCACTCTCCTGGCCTTTCATAAATATTTAAAGATTGCTCTGCCTTATTGCTTGGGACTCACCAGTGAGCACGCAGCAATGGGGCTGGTTAGCGCCTTGAAATTCTTCTCCCCTCCCTCTTTTTAATTAACTCTTAATGTAAAAACTTTAACTCACCTTGCCTATTTTAGGTTTTATTTTAGTTTTTATGTTTTTCACATTTTACTTCTATGCTGCCCGGAATCCTCCTATGAGGGAGATGGGCAGTTCCTAAGATGGATGGATGATAGATAGATAGATAGATAGATAGATAGATAGATAGATAGATAGATAGATAGATAGGCAGGCAGGCAGGCAGGCAGGCAGGCAGGCAGGCAGGCAGGCAGGCAGGCAGGACAGGACAGGACAGGACAGGACAGGACAGGACAGACCCCCATCCCTGTAGATACTGATATGTCATATACTGATTTGGTATGAAGAACTGCAGGCTAGCTCTACTTCTCCTTTCAGATATACTTACTTGTATTTGTAATTCACTATTTGGACATCAAATAATGGCAGTGTTTTTAAAGCATTGGCAAGCTGAAGAGGGAGAGGAAAAAACAAAAATGTTCAAGGCAATATTAAAGTTACCTTTTTCTATGTGGCAACCATAAAGCAAAGAGATTTAACCGAAGGAAAAAAATGAGCAAACCTCATTCTGGTTTAATATCTTTCTATACTCTGTAGTCCGGGCAAGTATTGTAACTCTGATTTTCCCATCCTATTGAAAAACAAAAACAAACAAATTCAGCAAAAACAGTTCATTAATCAATTCATTGCACCAAAACAAAGAAAAGACCAGTAGAGTGACAACAGAAAAAATTACTGGCCTTAACAGCAACAATTAGTAGGGCGATTAAACTGTCTTTTTCTTTTAATCACCTCATTTATACAATATGCAAACACCTCAGCTGAAGCTTTAGTAGGAGTATTTGTCACAAACAACAAAGCCATTTAAGAGATTTTCAGCTACCTCTATGCCAACTCCCAGAATGTCCCTGAAGAGGCATGGGCTTTTAAATACTTTATATTTATTGAATATAAAATTGACAACATTACTGAATACTATTACTGAATCTGAACAGGGCCACTTAATATGCAGGTGAGTAATGGAGGAAAAAAGTAAGATTAGCCTTCCAAATAAAGTTATTTTCCTTCCCAATTTAAAAAAAATCATTCAATCCTCAAGGGTAGAGTGTAAAAAAAGGAATACAAAGGTTTAACGGCATGAAATCTATTAAGATCAGCAGGAAACGTGTAGCAAATGGATGTGGAAAGCTGGAAAATGTTAGTCCCTTGTGATGAATATGCTTTATATTCTATAGTTAATACTTAAAAGAACTGAATTAATTTTTCTTCCGCAGCCTGTAAAAACTGACAAAAGTAACAGTCAAGTTAACTGAAAAATCAGCAAAATTACTGAATAGGAAACGAACAGTGATCAAGGATTTATCAGGTGGCTTTTAGAGAATAGACTTCCTAGTAGAAGAAAAGGAAACTCTTGAGTAGTGAAAATTATTCTGGGGCGACTGGATATATCAGAGCTACTGGACTTTGCTGTCCAAGGCCCTATCCTAGTTGTCATGTATGTATTGTTATTTGTTCGTTGCTTTTTATGTTCCCTTTCCTCTATATCTCCATTGAGAATGCATATAGCCAGCATCCACTTGAACCCTGCAGGAATAACTGTAGAAGATGATCAGGCTGAGCCTGAGGGGTCAAGCGCGCCATCAGTCTTGAGTCTCTTCATGCCCACAAGATATCTAAGTCCAGCCCACTTTGAATTCCATTGATTCTTATCTACTGCCAATTCATTTGGATCGTTAGACGTTCAAATTCTTGTAGAGAATGTCAGCATGCAATAAACCTGTATTCATTTGAACTGCTTCGGTTCCTGATTTCCTGCACTTGGCAAAATCCTCACAATCTTGTGGGTATCTTGAACCGAGAGGAAATGATTGGCTCAACATAGCTAGGAGGTGGGGGGTGCGGTTAACTTGTGATATCTTCTGCCCTAATCCAATTTTCTGGCAATAGCCGTCTTTTCAAATACAGAATTCTCTATAGTGTCTTCCCAAGTAAAAAATAGGAATACTTAAACTACAAATACACCGATACAGGATATCAGAACTGTGAGGACACCGTTTCTTAAAAAAAATTCTGTCAGGATTCCTTCCTACTTTTAAAAAATTATGGAGGACCCCAAAAGAGATTTCGCTTATGTGGGTTATATTTACTGATATTTACTGTATTGAAAATTAAAATGGACACATTCATAGAATAGTTACTTACGGACTCATGTAAAAATACCAATATTAAATCCATTAGATGTTAACCTATTTTCCATTAAAAATCCTATTATTTTTTAAAATAAAAGTAACAATGAGAAGAGTGACATTGTTTTTGCAAATATTGTCAAAATCTTGTAAATAATTTTGATTTCATAGACCCTTGAATGGACTCTCAGGGGTATCCAGACCACACTTTAAGAAACACTGTCAGGATATGAGAAAAATCTTGGAAGTGGAAATTGGGGGTGGGGGGAGAGCATTCAATTTCAGTTTCATTTCAGCACAGCTAGTCTTCAAGTTACGATTGGTCATTTAACTGGTCCCCCCACTGCACTTTGCATGCTTAGCAACTGCCTGCATTCACAGCTGTTTGCAATATCCTGCAGTCACATGACTGCAAATTAACCAGCATAAGGGCCCAGATTGTTGGAGGTATTTGTGCTGACTCTGTAAACTGCTTAGAGAGAACTGTAAAGCACTGTTAAGCGGTAAATAAGTCTAAGTGCTATTGCTATTTACTTCTAGTTTCTGGCAAAAAACACCAATGAAGACAATGGATTAACTTAATGAATGCAGTATTTGCTTAATGACAATGTTCACATTACTACCATCATGTTCATTTAATGACCACTACAGAAAAGTTTGTAAAATTGATTGACTATTGCAACCGAACTAGTACCTTAGGCCCATCTTGGGTGATATTTAATCTGTGCAACACGTGTTGGGAAAAGGCTCTGAATAATCCTGTCCCATGACAGCCGGAGATCTGCAATTAGACCAGACACAGGAATAAAATTTAAACATGTTTATACTTTAATTTTTTTACCATATATAGAATGAGAGAGAGAGAGGGATAAAAACCATCATGTTTATTCAGACCCAAGTATTCTGCTTGTGTTTTTTTTTTTAAAGAGTGTGGTAATCTCACCAGTTTTACTCACCAATGGTGTATTATAAAACAGGCCAAACCTCATTCGAGGCAATAGTGTAAAAACTGCTTCTTTAAAGCAGACCTGGAAAAGAAGATTAACCATTTACAAGGATTTTCCTTAATATATAAGGAGAGAGGCAAATAAAGAGCACAGAGAAGAACAACAAAGATAATTAGGGGACTGGAGACTAAAACATATGAAGAACGGTTGAAGGAATTGGGTATGTCTAATATAATGAAAAGAAGGACTAGGAGTGACATGGTAGTACTGTCTCAATATCTGAGAAGCTGCCACAAAGAAGACAGAGAACCTACTCTCCAAAGCACCTGAAGGCAGAACAAGAAGCAATGGATGGAACCTTAGCAAAGAAAAGAAGCAACCTAGAACTAAGGAGAAATTTCCTGACAGAGTTAATGGAATGACTTGTCTCCAGAAGTTGTGGGTGCTCCAACACTGGAGTTTTTCAAAAACAGACTGGACAATCATTTGTCTGGAATGGTATAGGGTTTCCTGCTTGAGCCGGGAGTTCTTTATCTTTATCTTTTATTAGATTTATATACCGCCCTACTCCCGAAGGACTCAGGGTGGTGAACAGCATAAATAAAACAAATATAATATAAAATTTAAAAACAGTTAAAAAAACATATTAAATAGATTTGGCCCACTAATTAAAACACCCCTATTTTTAAGAACAGATTCGAATTAAAATTAAACAATTAAAAAGGGTTAGGCCAGCCCCGCTTACTGGAATAAAAAGGTCTTGAGGGCACGGCAGAAAGTGCGCAAATCCGGTATCCTCAGTATCTCTGGGGGGAGCTCGTTCCAAAGGGCAGGTGCCCCCACAGAGAAGGCTCTCCCCCTGGGGGCTGCCATCAACATTGTTTGGCCGATGGCACATTGAGGAGCCGCTCTCTGTGGGAGCGTACTGGCCGGTGAGAGGCTACCAGTGGCAGAAGGCGGTCTCGTAAATAACCAGGTACTGAGCCATGAAGCGCTCTAAAGGTGGTAACCAATACCTTGAAGCACACCCGGAAGACCACAGGGAGCCAGTTCAGCTCGTGCAGGAGGTGTTACGTGGGAGCGCCATGTCGCTCCCATAACCACCCGCACGGCCGCTTTCTGGACCAGCTGGAGCCTCCGGGTACTCCTCAAGGGGAGCCCCATGGAGAGAGCATTACAGTAGTCCAGGCAGGAAGTGACAAGGGTTTGAGTGACCGTGCATAAGGAGTCCCGATCCAGAAAGGGACGCAACTGGCGAATCAGGCGAACCTGATAAAAAGTCCCCCTGGCCACAGCCGTCAGATGTTCTTCTAAGGACAGCCGTGTATCCAGGAGGACGCCCAAGTTGTGAGCCCTCTCCGTGAGGGCCAACGACTCACCCCCAATAGCCAGCGATGGCGTCAACTGGCTATATCGGGACGCCGGAAACCACAGCCACTCGGTCTTGGACGGGTTGAGCCTGAGTCTGTTTCTCCCCATCCAGATCCGCACGGCCTCCAGGGACCGGGACATCACTTCAAGGGCATCGTTGGGGTGGCCCGGAGTGGAGATGTACACCTGAGTATCATCAGCGCACTGATGGTACTTCACCCCGAAACCACAGATGATCTCACCCAGCGGCTCCATATAAATGTTGGACTAGAAGAGCTCCAAGGTCCCTTCCAACTCTATTATTCTGTTATGAAGCAGGATCTACCATATTAACACTGTGATGGAAAGTAGTTCAGAATACTTTTGCTAACTTTGTTGTACACTGCCCAGAGTCACTTGTTTTGGGAGATGGGTGATTTCTCTTGTGACATATGATAATTATAAACTCTCATAACATAAAATACTTTCAAGAAGTATTGTAATGGTAATTTAATGATGAAAGTTATGGAACGATTTTGAAAGGTAACTGGCATCATGTTGTCATTCCAGAGATGCACTTCCATTTACTAATTTCTACTATCATGGACAACAAAAGTTTGAATTATTTGTTATTTATTTATTATTAGACTTCCATGCTGTCCATCTCGCCAAGGTGACTCTAGGCAATTCTAGATAGCGTTTGACATTGGCTTTTGATATTTCTTGCAAATCCTAGCAAATATATTATGGTTTATGTTTATATGCCCAGAGTGGCCTCTCATAGAATTTAATATATATATATATATTTAGAATGTCAGATGATGATCATGGTAATTCATTAATCTTTTCAAGTTTCATAAGTTATGTTTTGTGAAACTGGGAGGGACTATTATAGTTTCCTTTCCTTCCCTTCCCTTCCCTTCCCTTTCCTTCCCTTCCCTTCCCTTCCCTTCCCTTTCCTTTCCCTTCCCCTTCCCCTTCCCTACCCTACCCTTTCCCTTTCCCTTTCTGTCTTTTGGGATTCATTCCTAATTTACATTAAACTATAATGTAGTTCTTTGATTCATTCAAATTCAATTAAGATGACTTCCTGGTTTATGCAGCTGGGTCAACTGCAAACAGGCAAATTCTTATCTTTAACTATTACAACTCCAGCAATCAAAGGACCAGAAGAAATTAATCACTACAAAACATTAAACACAAATACTACAAAACAAATTATTCATTACGTTTAAAATAAAACAGTAACATTTTAAAATGATACAATATTCCATACCCTTTTTGAATCATACGATTTCAAATGTATTATTTCATAGTCTGTAAATGCTTTCCATGTTTCACTGAATAAATCTCCATATCCATATGTACTCTGAAAAAAAAAAAAAACTAATGCCAATAAGATTTCCCTTAATATAGTCCAAATTTGTATGTGTCCATTTCAAACAATAAGATTGGAAAGAATTTCTAAAAGAATTCAGCATAAGAGATAAAATATTAATAGAGAAATATGGTAAAAATAAATATAAATTTTAGTAGTCTCCAAAGATTAAAAAAGGAAAATACAACTAAGATATGTGAAGAAAAATATGACAAAGGTGCAGACTGTAGAAATATGATCTGATAACTGAACATGTTCTGTTCTGCATTTTCAATGCTCTTTTTCTGATTTTAATAGCCAAAATAATAGTGTATAATAAATATATTCTTTAAAAAGTTCTTCTTCAGCTTTATACAGTGAGTTAAAACAGTACACTGGCACCATCAACTGGCAATACTAGGAATTAAATATACTATAACAAATTTTGAAAATAGAATAGCTTAGGACAAATTCGCATTACAGCAGGTTCTGACAGGTTCTGGAGAACCGGTAGCAGAAATTTTGAGCAGTTCGGAGAACCGGGAAATACCACCTCTGGCTGGCCCCAGAATGGGGCGGGAATGGGGATTTTGCAATATCCTTCTCCTGCCATGCCCATCAAGCCACACCCACCAAGCCACACTACGCCCACCAAGCCACGCCCACAGAACCGGTAGTAAAAAAATTTGGATTTCACCACTGCATTACAGTATTATCTAGATCAGGGGTATCGAACTTGTGGCATCACGTTGTCGTCACGGGACATATTGCGATTTTTCCCCCTTCGCTAAACCGGGGATGGGCGCAGCCAGAGCATGACGCATCTAGCCGCAAGTTTGACACCACTGATCTAGATGTATCAAAAATGCAGAAAGAATGCTTTTTTTTCCAAATAGGAGACAGTCAAATGAGAAATCCAGCAGAAAAACCGCATGTTAGACAAGCAGGTAGTCCTCAATTTACAACAGCCACTTAGTGACCATGCAAAGTTATTATGGATGCCCCAAAAGCAACTTCTTACAACTCATTGTCAAAGTTATGGCAGCCGCACACATAACCCCACGGTCACGTGATTGCATTTTGGGTGCTTGGCAACCAGTTCAACTTTATGGCTGTTTGCAGCATCCTGCAATCGCATGACTGCAATTTGCAATGGTTTTTTTTTTTTGCTGCTTTGTGGAATTTATTTCTGGTTTCTGGCAAAAAAAAAAAACACCAGTTGGGGAAAATTGATTCATTTAACCATAGCATTTGCTTAACAACCACCACAAAAAAGGTCAAAAAATCAGATCCGGTTAAATGATGCCTCAATTTACAATCACGAGCGCTTTTAACCATAATTCTGGATGTGGAGTGATTTGTTGAAATACAGCCTCATAGACCGGGAACAAAAGAAGAAGATAAGCATTAAGAATAAAATTACAAATACTTAATAAAAAAGCCAAATCTTATTCCTTGAGCAGAGCCTTAACTGAAAGGTAAATGAAGTAAATAGTTACCTCATTTAACCATACTAACTGTTTGCGGTAGTTTATACCAATCCTCCCACGATAGCATAATTAAAATTCATCCTAAACCTGGAACTGTCTACATCAGATAAAAAATAATATCTCAATAATATCTTACGCCCTAACCTAACCCTAACTATTCTTATGGTGCTACTTACAGTATCCCACATAACAATGTTGATATCAGTGCTGAAGGTGTTGGTAACATGCTGAGTGATGTAAAGATTCACAAAGTCACAAAAATGATGGTACATGTTGACACCTAAAAGAAGGAAGAAAAATTAAGCTTGTTGTAGTAGACACAACCAGAACTACATAGACAGTCATTTACAACTAAGGCGTAGGACTATGCAAAAACTATGTTCCATAGGTGCACCCATGCCACAATGCTAAAATACAGGTACAAAATTGTGAGTTACTTAATTAATTCATGAAGTTGCCATTAAAAACACATTTAAGAAGCTGAACAAGGATGAGCTTTGAGACTAGCTCATTATTATTGCCAGCATATGGGTTTTAAATGAAATCCAGTTGTAAGAAGCTACTAATTTGATCAGGGCAGTAATCTTGAAGGATTTTATAACCTTGATAAAAAGGTTTTTAAGAAAACCTTAATGAGTTCAGTAAAAAAAAATCAAGTTATGATAGTTTGCTCAGCTCAGCTTATTTCACTGAACTCCAAGCTATACAGATAGCCCTCAATTTATAGCCATTCGTTTAGTGATTGTTTGAATAGCACTGGTATAGTGTGGAATAGCACTGAAAAAGGTGACTTATGACCGTTTTTCCCACGTACGTGAAATGATCATTTCCTAATTCACACGAACAAATTATTTTTGGTCATGCAATCAAAATTAGGGCATCTGGCAACTGGTATATATTTATGACTGTTCCATTGTCCCGGGATCATGTAATCATAATTTTTAACCTTCCCAGCTGCTTCCAACAAGTAAAGTCAAGGGGAAAATCAGACTTACTAACTCAAGTGCATGATACACTTAACAACTAGAGTGATTTGCTTAACTGTGGCAAAAAAAGATTTGTAAAATGGGGCAGAATTCACTTAACAACTGCAATGGAAATGTAATAGGCTTTGTTAATTTGGGCTCAGTATGATATACAAGCCTCTCTATTACTAATTCACTTTATGTGTGAATCAGGTCATTAAGGCATGTTCATATCAATATGAGAATAACTACAATAAGAGTTGGCAGTTATATAGAAACAATACTTTAAAGCAGGGGTCTCCAACCTTGGCAACTTTAAGCCTGGCGGACTTCAACTCCCAGAATTCCCCAGCCAGCTTTGCTGGGAGTTGAAGTCCACCAGGCTTAAAGTTGCCAAGGTTGGAGACCCCTGCTTTAAACAACTGCATAGGTTTACGCACAGGGAGTCTTTAGACCAGAGTTTCTCAACTTTAGCAACATTAAGATATGTGGACTTCAACTTCCAGAGTTCCACAGCCAGCATGTTAGCTGGGAAACTCTGGGAGTTGATATCCACACACCAAAGTTAAGAAACACTAACTTTAGAGATTAATCAAAGTATAGGTAGTCCTAGGTTTACGGCCACAACTGAACCTGAAACTTTAGTCATTGTGGTTGTAATTTGAGTCACCACATGACCAGACTTCAATTTTAAATTCTTAAATCTTAAATTTGAATTTGTATTCCCACGTTTAACCTTATTTATTGGATATGCTGTTTTAATTTGTTTTTTAACTTTTGTATTTTCTGTTTCTTATTGTTGTGAGCCCGCCCTGAGTCCTTCGGGAAAAGGGCGGCATATAAATCAAATAAATAAATAAATAAATAAATAAATAAATAAATAAATAAATTTTTACAACTGTTTTCATGACGGCTGTTACGTGAGTCACTGTGGTTGTAATCCAAATCACATGGTCGTAAGTCTGAATGCAACTTATCCAAAAGGCATTTCTTGCCAATAAACACAAAAAAAGGTCACGAAATGTGAACTTGTGACCATGGAATGCTGCAATTGGTCATAAATACAAGCAAGTTGACAAGCACATGAAAACAATCACATGACATGGAGTAGTACAGTAGTCATAACTTCAAGGATAGGTCAAAAGTAACTTTTTTCCAAGTCCATTGTAAATTTGAATGGTCATTATGCAACCAGTCTTAAGTCAAGGACTACCTGAAGCTTATCATTTGTACCTCCTAATGTTTACAGAAATAGATCTTCTCTTATCAGTATAGAGAAATGAGGTTACATTTTGGAATTTGAAAACACTGAAATACCTTGTACCTGCATCAAGCTTCATGAAATATGTTGGCTTCTCAACAATGACATCACAGCTGCCATCTTCCAATGGTCTGGAGCTCATCTCTGCGTACGTCTGGAGTTCAGCAAACCTGTAAAGTGAAGCGTAGAGTAGAGCACATCTCTCTCCTTCTGCCCTGGCCATTTTTTATAGAGGCAAGATTGAGAGCATTTTAACAAACTGCATCACTGTTTGGTTTGGTGGCTGAAGTGCCTCAGAGAGAAAGTCCCTACAGAGAGTGGTAAGGACAGCTGAGAAGATTATAGGAAGCTCGCTTCCTGTCATTCAGGATACTGCTTATAAGCGCTATGTGCTTAGAGCTCAAGGCATTGTTAGAGACCCCACGCAACAACTTTAGGGCTTGTTTCTGTTGCTCCCCTCTGGAAGGAGGTTTCAGAGTATTTCTAGCAGGACTTCCAGATTCTGTAACAGCTTTGTTCCCTATGCCATCCATGTGGTAAATTCGAAAGTTTCATTTTTCGCTATGTACATGTATACATCCAAACTAGACTGTGTTGTTTCTCTGTGTCATATAATATATGTGGGTATATGCATATTTATTTATTTATTTATTTATTTATTTATTTATTTATTCATTCATTCATTCATTCATTCATTCATTCATTCATTCATTCATTCATTCATTCAAGTTTATGTAGTGTATATTGAAGCTGGTGACCCTTTGAGAGCTGTATACAAAGAAATTTCATTTTAATGTATACCAATTAATGTACATTCAAAGTGACAATCAAATTATTTTTGTCCAGGGGTAGCAAACTCGATTTCATTGAGGGCAGCATCAGGGTTATGTTTGGCCTTGTGGGGCATGGCCAGCTTGATGTCACTCGTGTCAGTGTGGCCTGTGGTGGACTGAACACTCGGTCAGCCGCGATGGTCTCCTGCAGCCCTCTGCCAGCGAAAACGGAGCTCAGGGGTGCCGCATGCAGCCCTCTTGGGCCCCATTATCGACCATGATGGCCTCCCGCAGCCCTCTGCCAGGCTCCATTTTCGCTGGCAGAAGCACTGCAGGCCAGTCCTTCTCTGTTTCAGGGCGGCCCCGCAGGCCAGATCTAAGCATTCCATGGATCAGATCTGGCCCGCGGGCCTTGAATTTGACACACCTGTTCTAGTCTATTCTCTATTCTATTCTAATTACCACCATTTAAATTAGGCTTTGAAAATGTATTCCAGGCTGATTTTTAAGCAATACACCACATACACTTTCTCCTACTGTTGGTGAAGTTTTATCAAATTTGACAATTAAAATTATTTTTAATTGTAACTGAAGCCTCTTCTATAAGGCTTCAAAAGGTTAAACTCTGCTTTGAATTCAGTCTTGTGTAACGTCTTTGATCTATAAATTAAGGGTTGGGAAAAGTAGAGACAGTATTCCCTCTGTCCAACTTTCATAGATCCAGCTAATTGGAAGATTCACGTCAAATGTGTTTACCATGAATTTCAAGCTATATCAGCAAAGACATAGTTATTAGTGACTGCAGCTACATAACAGATAGAATTTGAGACCAATTAGCAAGATCCACAGAACAGTCTAGCATGAGCAAGTTGCCAGGAGGAATTATCAGCTTTCAAAAAATGCTGTAACGGAGACTTACAACAGGGTAGCACTAGGTCCCTTCATTAAACATGATCAGGGGATTAAACATTTCTTGCAGGAAACTAAGGAAACTTGCTACTTTGTACAATGCCTGCCCTCTGGAATAGTCTCCCTTCTGAGATTCTTAGCCTTAGAAGACCAACCTTCTTAGCCTTTCGAAAGGCCATTAAGACCTGGCTAATTTCCCCGAGGGACGTGGTGGCTCAGTGGCTAAAATGCTGAGCTTGTCGATCAAAAGGTTGGCAGTTCAGCGGTTTGAATCCCTAGTGCCGCATAATGGGGTGAGCTCCTGTTACCTGTCCCAGCTTCTGCCAACCAAGCAGTTCGAAAGCACGTAAAAAATGCAACTGGAAAAATAGGGACCACCTTTGGTGGGAAGGTAACAGTCTTTCGTGCGCCTTTGGCATTTAGTCATGCTGGCCACATGACCACAGAGATGACTTCGGACAGCGCTGGCTCTTCAGCTTTGAAACAGAGATGAGCACCGGCCCCTAGAGTCGGGAACAACTAGCACATATGTGCAAGGGGAACCTTTACCTTTATTTTCCCCTGGGATTAAGCAACAGAATAAAAGAATAACAGAGTTGGAAGGGAGGTTGGAGATCTTCTAGTCCCACCCGCTGCTCGGACAAGAAACCAATTTTCAGATAAACGATTGCCCAATCTCTTCTTAAAAGCCTCTAGTGATGGAGCACCCACAACTTTGGAAGGCAAGCTACTGATTAATTGTTCTAACTGTCAGGAAATTTCTCCTTAGTTCTAGGTTGGTTGTCTTCTTAATTAGTTTCTTGATTAGTCTGGATATCAGAGGATCTTATAATACGTAAATTGACATTGTAAAATGTAAAATGTAAATGTAAAAATACATTGAAAAAGTTTGTAATCAAACAAAAATATAATAAAAATAATCCAATACAAAAGGAAATTGAGCCACCATGTAGTAACTAGGACAAATAGTAACATGGTGGCTCAGTTTCCTTTTGTATTTGATTATTTCTATTATATTTTTGCTTGGTTATGAGCTTTTAAAATATATTTTTTAATAAACTGTCTAGATTTATGTATTTAAGATGGGCAGCCATACACATTTTCTAAATAAATAAATAAACAACTTACTGCTCCCATATTGTCTCTATGGAAGTGCTTTGAAAATAAAAATTGTAGGTAATTGCAGTTTGGTGCTGTGTTTACAAGCATATTTACCTATTCCTCTCAAAAAAGAGTGTGTGCTAAAAGCTAGGATAAGTGGCTAGGATATTTTCTGAGCATAGCTTGAGCATGCTCTCAATATTCCAAAAGTAAACACCAACTGAAAAGAGTTGGGGAAAACTATCTTACAACAATAGAATAGAATAGAATAGAATAGAATAGAATAGAATAGAATAGAATAGAATAGAATAGAATAGAATAGAATAGAATAGAATAAGCTGGAAGGGACCTTGGATGTCTTCTAGTCCAGCCCCCTACTCAAGCAGGAGAATCTATAGCAATTTAGATAAGTGACGGTCTAGACTCTTCTTAAAAACATCCAGTAATGGAGCGCCCACAATTTCTGGAGGCAAGCTGTTCCACTGGTTAAGTGTCCTCACTGTTAGGAAGTTTCTCCTTAATTCCAGGTTGCTTTTCTCTTTGATTAGTTTCCATCCATTGTTTCTTGTCCTGCCCTCCGGTGCTTTGGAGAATAATTTGACCCCCTCTTCTTTGTGGCAGTCCATCAAGTACTGAAATACTGCTATCATGTTCCCCTAATTCTTCTTTTCTCTAGACTAGCCAAACCCAAATCCTGCAGCCATTCTTCATATGTTTGGTCTCCAGGCCTTTGATCATCTTAGTTGCTCTTCTCTGAACTTTTTAGCATAGTGGTTAGAATGCGGTATTGCAGGCTGACTCTGCCCACAGCCAGGAATTCGATCCTGACTGGCTCAAGTTTGACTCAGCCTTCCATCCTTCTGAGATAGGTGAAATGAGGAGCCAGACTGTTGGGAAAAATATGCCGATTCTATAAACCACTTTGAGTGTGCTGAAAAGCACTATGAAGCAGTATATAAGTCTAAGGGCTATTGCTATAGCTCAGTCATGATTACTGGAACAGAAAAGGAGCATCCAAGATGTCCATTCTGCCAAGATGTTGTGAAGAAATAAAACAACATACTTACAAGACTTACCAAGATTGCAAAGGACTCTTTTGTTGACCTTCAGCAAGGAAAGCTTCAGTATTCATATTGCAGTGGCCACCTATTTGACCTTTCTTGAAGAAATCTTCATTAAATCTAACCAGGGAAAGAAAGAAGATTAAAACAGGATTTTAAAAAATTAAAACCAAAAAAAAAAAGGCTCATTTTTGAAATTTAGGATTTAGAAAATGCTTTATCTTAGGCTGAGCCATGAAAGCTTTGTTTTTTTAAATGTGCTAGAATTATAAAACAGACCGTAAGGAAAGAAATCTGGTTCATTTCTAACGGTTTTTCCTCCACTAGAAGCAATCAAGTAATATATGAAAACATTTTTCTTTTTTTATAACACACAAGAATTCTAAGGGATTGTTAGCTGGTTCGGGTACTATATTTCCATGTACAATCCAACACATAAGGAGTCATGAGCGATTCCTTTCTCTCCAAATGTATCACTGAAGATGTGGCCTCCACAGGCTTTGGTTTATTATGATACCTCAAGAAGAATTACTGTATTTTTTGGACTATAAGACACACCTAAATTTAGAGGATTTATTGCGTTATTGCTTAACGCATTGTAAGCCGCCCTGAGTCTCTAGAGAAGGACGGCATATAAATCTAATTTAAAATAAATTTTAAAAAAAATTAAAAAAAAATAAAAAAAATAAAAAAAGAGGAGGAAAACAAACAAAAAAAGTTTTTGGCCTCCATGCACCCCATTTCTGGACCCTTTGGGGGGCTCTTTTCTAGCCCATTTTCAGGACTTTGGCCTGTTTTTGAGGTATTTTAGGCCTGTTTCTGAGGTTTTTTTCAGGCCTTTTTGGCTGTTTTGAGGGTTTTTTGGCCCATTTTTGAGGCTTTATTCAGCTCATTTTTGAGGCTTTCTTGGCCTGTTTTCAAGGCTTTTTGGCCCATTTTCAAGGCTTTTTTCAGCCTGTTTTCAAGGCTTTTTTCAGCCCGTTTTTTTTAAAAAAAACAGATCTAAAAAACCCTCAAAAACAGGCTGAAAAAAGGCCCGAAAACGGGGTGTGCAGAGGCCAAAAAAAAAAAACCCGGTGGATGGGTGGGGGGCTTTGGCAATATTCGGTCTATAAGACACAGAGACATTTTCATCCCCTTTTGGGAGACAAAAAAGTGTGCTTTATAATCTGAAAAATAAGGTATACATGTTCTGAAGTTTCACAGGTTCAAAGAAATTCCAATAGATGATAAAGAGGAATTACTTTGTTGCAAATGGAAAGCTTAATAGTGGAATGAAAATCTCTCCTTGGTTGCCGTGACTGTAAACCTCCAGTTTATGATTTATTCCTATACTTCCAACCTGAAAGTCTCTCTCTTAAAGCTGACAATAGTTCCCTACAGCAGAAGCCTTCCCAAATTAGCAAGTTAGAAAGTTTGTTTGAAGAAAGCAGTTATAAGAACCACTACATGAAATTTGGCCCCTTTCAAAATTTACAATGTCAAAGTGTGTTTTGAACAGTGAAGTATTAGTACTGTTTTATAAAGCTTTAATAAGGCCACACCTGAAATACTGCAACCAGGTTTGGTCACCACATTAAAAAGATGTTGAGATTTCGGAAAAATACAAAGAAGAGCAACTAAGATGATTAAAGGCCTGGAGACTAAGACATATGAAGAACAGTTGCAGGATTTGAGTTTGGCTAATCTAGAGAAAAGGACTAGGGGGATATGACAGGAGTATTCCAGTATTTGAGAGGCTGCCACAAAGAGGAGGGGGTCAATTTATTTTCCAAAACACCAGAGGGCAGGACAAGAAACTAATCAAGGAGAGAAGCAACCTGGAATTAAGGAGAAACCTCCAATAGTAAAGACAATTAACCAGTGGAACAGATTGCCATCAGAAATTATGGGTGCTTCATCACTGGAGGTTTTTAAGAAGAGACTGGACAGTCACTTGTCTGAAATGGTATAGGATCTCCTACTTGAGCAGGGGGCTGGACTAGAAGACCTCTAAGGTCCCTTCTAGCTCTATTCTGATTTTGACAATTCTATTTTGCTTATTAGAAACTGATATACGATAGAACATGGTTACAATTTAATGGGAGAGCGTGAGCTTTAGTTCTTTAGCAAATTTGTATCTCACAAAAAGGGATTCTGGGCAGCTTACGCAGTTTGACATGAAGAGGTTGAATCGCTGAAAACTTCCAAGATTCTTAGGGTCTGAACTTCTTGAAAATATTACCAGTCAGTGTTGACATTAGTGAAGTAGATAGCCCATAAATCTAATCTGATCTAAGGCAATTTCTTATAAGAAGCAGTGGTTGAGGGTGGCTGATAAGATACTGGACTGATAAAGGTGACTAAGCACAATCTGTTCCCTCATGGAAATGCAGTAGATTATTTCTGATCCTTTAAGCTTCTTAAAGTAATTCATTCTTCAAGCTTTTCTCTACAGCTATGAAAATCAGTCACACCCTCTGTTAAAAACGCTGTAGATTTCTGTATCCCAATATTGATCTATTAATAAGTGGAAATAAAAGAAGAAAAACAGCAAAATTTTGCTGCAGGACCAAGTGCCTTAAACTCAGAATGCAATTCCTTAAACAGGATTATCGAATAATTATGAAATACGAAGATGGCACAAACCTATCATGGTTTCTTTTCGGATGCCTTAAATCAATATATAAATTTGTTGCTTTGCAATACTGAAGGTAACGGGAACATTCAAGTGAAGCATCTCCCTGAAAGGAAATGACATAGAGATCTGTAGGTTACTATGATGCAGGCTGGCTGGCAAGTGAAAATGAATTATTTGAACTAAATCAAAAATCTGCAGCTCTATGGGTTTGAATATTAAAAAGGTCACTCATTGGGGCTGAGGTGGTAGTGACTGCAAATGTTCCCTGCTCCCATATTCAACAAGACATTTTTGTCTTTGAATCCAAAGTGTTGCACAGCCTTTGCACAGTTCCATCTTGGACACAAATCACAACTTTTATCATTCAACAAACTGGTTGTAACCTAAAAAAATGCTTCAGGGTTTAAGATCTGGATGCAGGAAGCCCTCAATTTACCAACACAATTGCGACCAGAATTCCCATCGTAAGTCATTGCAGCTGTAAATCAAGTCGGACCTGATTCTATGAAAATGTTTATGGCGTTAAGCAAATCACTGTGGTGGTGAATCCATCTTCCCCAAGGGATATATTTTGCCAAAGTTGACAAAAAGGTTCGCAAATAATAATCACAGGACTGCAAGATACCGCAACCAGTGATAAATGTAAGCCAGTTTCCAAAGGCCCAAATTGTGATCACAGAACCATGGAGGGCAGGGGTGGGTTCTAAATATTTTTACTACCAGTTCTGTGGGCGTGGCTTATTTTGTGGGTGTGGCTTGATGGTCATGTGACAATTATTTAGGATTTAGCAGAGGTACTGGTCTACCAGGCTTTTAACTGCTTGCAGAGCTGTACCGATCTACCCATTTATTTTTTGCAGGCACTGGTCTACCCATTTATTTTTGCAGGCACTGGTCTACTCATGTATTTTTGCAGGCACTAGTCTACTCATTTGTTTTCTTTTAACACTGATCAGCTGTAGGGCGGCCCTTTGAAGCCCCACGGCAAGAGTTTAAACAGGTTTTTTCCCTCTAGCCATCAGCTGGGACTCAGGAGGCAGCAATAGATTGGGGGTGGGGCCAAATAAAAGGTAAGAATAACGTGGAGGGTGGGGGGACGCCGGGGGGCAGAACCGGTTTGGTGACATCATATCGTCACCGCTACCGGCTCGGGAGAACCGGGCCAAACCGGGAGGAACCCACCACTGGTGGAGGGGATGTGGCAGTTTAAGTGACAGCGTCAGTCATAAGTCACTTTTTCCAAGACTGCCATAATCCTGAACCATCTTTACACAAATGGCTGTAAATGGAAAACTACCTAACACTGTGATGGCAAACCTATGGCACGGGTGCCAGAGGTGGCACGTAGCACCCTCTCTGTGGGCACGCGAGCCGTCGCACCAGTTCAGCTCCGCCACGCATGCGTATGTGCCTCCCGCCGGCCAGCTGGTCACCAGGTCTCTGCTGCGCATGTGCAGGGGCAGGGTGTGTGGGAGGGATGCGCATATGTGCAGGGGCAGGGCGCATGTGCTGGAGGCACGCATGCATGGGGGTGGGGCACATGTGGGGGTGTGCGCATGCGTGGGGGCAGGGTGCATGTGCTGGAGGCACGCATGCGTGGGGGTATGCATGGAGGCGTGCGGGGCAGGGTGCATGTGGGGGGCCGCATGCACATGTGCATGCGAGAGCTGCGCACATATTGCATTTTGGGAGTTTAGAGGTACGCACACGCATTCGCATACGTGTGCACTTTGGGCATTCGGTCCGGAAAAGGTTAGCCATCACTGATCTAACAGCACGACTATTCCTTCCTGATTCATTCCAATCTGGATCTGTATTTCTCAACCTGGGCAACTTGAAAATGTGAGGACTTTAGAGTGGTGGGTGGGAAATTCTGGGAGTTGAAGTCCACACATCTCCAGATTGCCAAGGTTGAGAAACACTGCTCTAGATGAAAGGATTTCATAATCCCTCGATTAGACATTGTCCCCATTTGGGCTATGGATACATGACTTCTCAGTAGCTGAGATAAGCATCCCCCCAGATATTTGAAACACACATACACACGTTTTTAGAAAGTTAGTGAAGATTTGGTTATTCCACCAAAACTCAAGAGGCAAGACCCTTATACTATTCCACTAGAGGATGAATTCATTTTATTATATTTTGAGTATTAACTCCCAGATTTCATATAGCTTTTTTTTTTAACGAATGCTTTTAGTTTTAAAATCTGATTAGCTCTTTTTAATCCCAAATTAGAAATCTGGGGAATTTTATACCACTCAGTTGATTAGAGTGGCCTACACTCTTTGTAAATAAAAATAAATATGCCTACCGCATTCTTAGGCTTGCAATGAGTCTTCACATCTTTCATCTTTTCTTTAACGTAACCAAAATCAGCTTGCTTCCAGAAAATATCCTGGGCTTTCTCAATGGTATTAGCCCTGACATACGAAACAAACAAAAGGAATCTCTTTGAGAAAAGTGAACTACAGCAGAACATCAGGCTACAGACTGCTATGTTCTACTGCATAATCTTATAAACCAGGGGTGTCAAACTCAAGGTCGGAACCCGGATCCGGCCAGCGGGGTGCTCAGATCTGGTCCACAGGGCTGCCCTGAAAACAGTGGATCAACCCATGATGCTTCTGCCAGTGAAAACGGAGCTCAGGAGAACTCAATTTTCCCTGGCAGAGGTTGCAGGAGGCCATGGCAGCTGAAAACGGAGCTTGGGAGCCCATTTTCCCTGGACGAGCGCTTGGACCACTACAGGCGCCTGAGTGATGTTGAGCTGACCATGCCCAACCTTGGCCACGCCCCCCTCCCCCCAAGGTCAAACACAACCCTGATGCGGCCCTCAATGAAATCGAGTTTGACACCCCAGTTATAAACGATGCCCTAAATTAGTGAAGCAATGAAAAGGACATTGTTTTCAACTGTTCTCCCCCATGCAGAAAAAAATAACACTCATGGATACCTTGATTAAAACAAAAAAGTAAACAAACGCTTTAAAAAAGGATAACCTCATGGTGCCTACCTGCGCACAAACATGCAGGTTTTTTGGCAATGTGTAGTTTCTGTATGCTTTTTTTTTTCTTTTGTGGTGTTTCTCGATTTACAATCTCAGGATTCTAGATTGGTACTACAAAAGTCCAAGTTTGCTCAGCTGCCAAATCGAGTCAACGACGGCCAGCTATTTGACTGATTATGTGCCATCAAGTTGTTTTTGACTCCTTGCAACCACATAGATAGATCTTCTCCATGACAATCTATCCCTAATTTGGCCTTTCTAGTCTTATAATGTGATTTATCACCAGATACAGATTAACAGAGTTGGAAGGGACCTTGTAGGTCATGTAGTCCAACACCAATACCCTACACCATTTCTGACAGATGGCAGTCCAGTCTCTTCTTGAAAGCCTCCAGTGATGAAGCTTCCACAACTTTCGAAGGCAAGCTGTTCCATTGGTTGATTGCTCTCACTGTCAGAAAAATTCTCCTTATTTCTAGACTGAATCTCTCTTTGTTCAGTTTCCATCCATTATTCCTTGTCTGGCCTTCAGGTGCTTTAGAAAATAGCTTGACCCCCTCCTCTCTGTGGTAGCCCCTCAAATATTGGAACACTGCTATCATGTCTCTCCAGTGTAACTCAGTCTGTCCATCCTGCTGCTGGTTATCCTCCTCTCTTTTCTTCCATATTTCCCAGTATTAGAGTCTTTTCTGGCCAACTTTTTTACTAGAGATTAAACAGTATTGATTTCAGATTGCTAAATTATTCTATTCTATAAATTAGACCCTTAATATCTCTAATACTGTATATATTTGTGCAACAAATCAGAAGGTTTAAAAGCTACTCCAAACAATAACTATCCTTCTCACAATTTGGAATGCATATACGCATCACTGAATATTTAAAAATAAAATAAACATGAGAATGTTTAGTATTGGAGTTGACCTAAGGGAAGCAGTAAGTGGGCAATTTAAATAGAATAGTTTTTGTTGAAAAGTATGAAGATTTTTTTGGCTACGGATCATGGGAATGTATCTAACATTATCCAAGAGCAAAAATATTCGCCTTTGCTGTTCTCCTTCCCTTTCTGGAACAGATCCAGGGGAAATACAAGAGGTTAAAAATAGAGAAAGGTGGCAGATATAGTTTCTTCCAACTCTCATCTAGAAGTGGACTACAATTCTCATAAAGCCAGCAATATATTGGGGTATGTTAAGGAATATTGTTATAAGGAAACGATCCAAGAACAAACAATCCCATTTCCATCTGAAACATTTCTTTTTGTTCTGAACTGAGATGAATCTCCTCAATTCCATGATGTCCCAGTGAGGAGAGGGGGGATTCAGTTGTTTCTTGAAGTAAATCATCTGAATCCATTTGAGGTGGTCCGAATGCAAGATTTTCTCCTTCAGGATTGGAAGACCCTGGAATGCCTCACACTTCTTCAGAGGTGAAGAATTTATTTCTAGAAACTACCGAATACATAATCTATAGAGCTGTGGTCCCAGATTGGTGTATTGTGTGTATGTGTATGCCTAGTTCCATGCCTATAAATTGGCCTGACTTTCAGTCTTTACTTGTTACAACACTGCAGGGCACTTATAAAGCTCTTAACCTTCTACTGGGGGACAATAAACTATCTTCCTCAGCAACTTAATTTTCTAAAGATTTCCAGCAAAGTAAGATCCTTCTCTAACTTAACAAGTGGAAGATGCTAGCTTGCATGCATGTTCGTGGGCATATGGCTGCCCCGATCACAACCTGAATTCTGCCACTGATTTACATGGGCTGGTCCCACTTCCTGGATTTGTTTGGACTGGCCTCACTTCCCTCCATGGGAACTTTTAAAAACAATTGGTTCATGTGAATTAGGAAATGATCTATTCATAAAATGAAGCTTCCTCTGTCTTTTTATATCCAAGAGTTTTTCTCATTTCTGCTGAAGGATGAAGGTGAAGAACAAAAATGATGCAATAAACAAACCAAGGAAGGGACTGAGACAGTGGTGGGTTGCTACCGGTTCGCCCCGGTTCACCCCGGCTCCGCCCACCCACTCAGATGTCATCAAATATGCTCCGCGCTTGCGCAAAAGCTTCTGTGCATGCGCAGAAGTGGCATGCAAGCAAACCGGTAGCAAAGGTAAGTGAAACCCACCCCTGGACTGAGATAAAATGGCCCAGTTCTACCCTCCTTGCCATTATTCTATCTGTCCTTTTTATCAATACCATTTTAATGCTTTCTAGTCTTCTCCGGCCATACTCATTTCTTCATTACCCACTTCCTTCCAGCAAACTGATAAGTTTTCCTTCCCAGCTACAGGTAGTTCTTGACTTATAACCGTTCAAAGTTACAGCAGCACAGAAAAAAGTGACTTATGACCATTTTTCCACACTTATGATTGTCACAGCATCCCCCAGTTACAAAATTTGGATGCTTGGCAACCGGCCTGTATTCATGATGGTTGCAGTGTCCTGGGATCACGTGGTCGCCTTTTGCAATCTTCTGAGAAGCAAAGCCAATGGGGAAGCCAATTCACTTAACAACTGTGTTACTAGCAATAGCAATAGCACTTAAGACTTATATACCGCTTCATAGTGCTTTTACAGCCCTCTCTAAGCAGTTTACAGAGTCAGCATATTGCCCCCAACAATCTGGGTTTTCATTTTACTGATCTCGGAAGGATGGAAGGCTGAGTCAACCTTGAGCCTGGTGAGATTTAAACTGCCAAATTGCAGGCAGCCAGCAGTCAGCAGAAGTAGCCTGCAGTACTGCACTCTAACCACTGTGCCATCGCGGCTCATTAGTTAACAACTGCAGTGATTTGATTAACACCTGTGTCAAGTAAGGTCATAAAATGGGGCAAAACTCTCTGAATAACTGTCTTACTGAGCAGCTGAAATTTTGGTTTCACCTGTGGTCGTAAGTTGAGGACCACCTATAATTCGGATTTTCTGGCCTGAATATGTTCAATACACTGGTGGGAAGGAGAGAGTGTTTTCCTGCAGTTTTTCCCCAACTACTTTTGTTCTTCCATGAACATTCTGCTATCTTCATTTTTCTGTATAAAAGTTTTGCAAATACACAGGAATAGTCATTCAACAATCCCTTTCAAATCCAACTAATTTATGTTGCTAAACATCTGCAGTATTCTTAAAGACAGAGATCTCCATATTACAAAACTTAGCCAAAGTGAAACTTTCTAATCCAAATGTTTATTTTTTTCAATAATCAAGAATCTCATTTTTTTTTTAAAAAAAGACAAATTTCTAAAGTATCCATATCAACATAGGGCAGGGGTCAGCAACCTGCGGCTCTGGAGCCGCATGTGGCTCTTTCACCCCTCTGCTGCGGCTCCCTGTCGCTCAAAATATGCGTCACAATCTCCAATGTGCAACACCCACCAGCACGTGATTCATTGAGCTTTTCAATCCAAATTTTTTTACTACCGGTTCTGTGGGCGTGGCTTGGTGGGTGTGGCAGGGGAAGGATATTGCAAAATCTCCATTCCCACCCCACTCTGGGACCAGCCAGAGGTGGTATTTGCCAGTTCTCTGAACTACTCAAAATTTCCGCTACCGGTTCTCCAGAACCTGTCAGAACCTGCTGGATTTCACCCCTGTTTTCAACCCCCGGTAAGCCAACCATGGATAAATCCAAGAAAAGAAAAGTTTCAGAAGAAAATAGAACGTTTAATTCAACTACATATGCTAGTTTTGTGGCCGCTCAAGAAATAGGCATGGGAAGGGTTTTGTGGCTCCCGGTGTTTTCTTTTCTGTGGGAAACGGGTCCAAATGGCTCTTTGTGTGTTAACGTTGCAAACCCCTGACACAAGCACCCAATAGTAGCCATTTTGCAATACTCATGATACTGTATGTGTTCAGGTGTTCAGTAGGTACATAATATATAAACACTGAATTTCATATGAAATTTTACTTCACCCATTTTTCTTCACACTTACCATCCAATTTCAGCATAATCGCATGTTGGATATCCAAACCTGTTTTCTGGCTTGCAGAATTTCTCATAACCCCAACAAGCTTTCAATTTCTTCAAATGTTTCTGTCAATACAGAATTACCATTAAAATGATGCAATCAAAGTTAACTTACTCAAACATCAATTAAGATGGTCAATTTCTGCTTTTGAAAAATGTGATTAAACATTTTTTAAAATCTTGGGGGGGGGGTGTTGCAAAACAAAAATAAAAAAATCAGAACTGCATATATTTTATATTCATTGCTTGCAAAAAAACTACGAACGTATCATATTCTAAATTCATACCCACCAGACTACAAAAGAAAGAAGCATCACTCTAATACAGTCTTTCAAACTGTCTTATAAATCCATTCTAGCTGGACATTCTGGATGTTGCAATCTGAAGGTCAGGGAAGTGAGTTCTAACACATAAGTAAATAAATACATATAACAGAGTAAACATATTACTCAGTGCCACCAGCCATGCATTATACCGCTGTTATGTTATATCAACACGTAAGATCGCCACTTAACTTAAAAAATAAAATTCTGGCAGGTTCGGAAAAACAATAAAACAAAACATAGAAAAAAGCAAAAATTTGGTGCCTCCAAGCTCTTCCTCCAATGTGTTATTTCCCAAGTTCCAACTTCACTTCACAGAGAAAGAACCAGCTTTTTACATGTTTCTGGAAGGCCAAGAGAGTGGGGCATTGGCAAATCCTAAGGGGAAAGGTATTATAGCTCACTGAGCATTTGCCATTGTGAACAATATTCATGTATTCCTATTGTTTTCCTATTCGACTATCATCAGGGAATAAGGATCCACTGTCTAGTACAGGAGTGTCAAACTCAAAGCCCGGAGGCTGGAGGCCGGTGGGGTGGTTATATTTGGCTCGCGGGGCCACCCTGGAAACAGTGAAGGACTGGCCCACAGTGCCTCTGTCAGCAAAAATGGAGCTTGGGAGGGCCGCACACAGATCCTCCCGAGTTCCGTGTCAACCCTGGAAGCCATCTTTTACTTTGGGGCTTCAGGGCTGCCAAATTTAGTGCTGTGGGAAACTGGGAGGCGGGGATTGTATGGAGCTGGAAGATATCTAGTCATAACATTCTTTCCTCTGAAAGTCAAGGACAGCCTGCCCTGCACCTGGAGTGGTGTGACTGGGAGGCATCTCCAGTTGGGACGGTATATTGATTTTTGTTGTTGTTGTTGTTGTTGTTGTTGTTGTTATTATTATTATTATTATTATTATTCATATTTCTATGCCGTCCACTCTCCAAGGACTCTGGGCGGCTTACACCAAAGACAGTATGCTAAATAACATATTGCCCCCAACAATCTGGGTCCTCATTTTACCCACCTCGGAAGGATGGAAGGCTGAGTCAACCTTGAGCCGGTGAGATTTGATCCGCTGATCTGATGAACTAGCAGTCAGCTGAAGTAGCTGTAGTACTGCACCCTAACCACTGAGCCACCTCGGCTCTTTTTACTCTGTTTTTGCTGGCAGGGGCCGTCGCAGCCGAAAATGGAGCTCAGGAGCCCGCCTTCTCTGGCAGAGCGCTCGGGCCACCACAGGCGCCCCCGACATAAGTGATGTCAAGCTGGTCACACCTACCCTGGCCAAGCCCACTCTGGCCCCCCGAGGTCAAACACAACCCTGATGCAGCCCTCAATAAAATCGAGTTTGGCATCCATGGTCTAGTATCTTCAGTGGCAATGATTCTACCACCGAAGCTAAAAACTGATTAGAATTCATCTAATGTTTGCATCACTGTTAACCGATACAATTCTAAGACTGAAACAAGTCTCCATTAGGTTAGGAAAAGGAATACTTACTTTATATGGGCAAAAAGGATCTTGCCTGCAAACAGTGGCAATGCCTGGATTATTGTATAAAAAATATGGGATGTGTTCCTCTGGCAACATGATGTTTTCATAAGGATACCTTGGCTCTTGAAAAACGTTGCTGCCATTGTGAAGATATTCATCTGGTCCCGTGGCCACTATATTTGGAAATAGAGCTCCCAACGTAAGCAGTATTAACATGGCAGTGGGAAAAACCTAAAGAAAACACACCAAAGATTTATGGGCTGTAGAACAGCAATTCACCAGCCCTTAAAAGTTTATTTTTAAACTCAAGCAGTTATATTCCCTGACACCAAAAAATTCTTGCCACTGGCATACTGTTAATATTATAGATACTAAACCAATGAGTAAGAGAAATCTGTCATCCCCAAGAGATTCTTGGGAATCAGACAGGAGAAACTATGTAGGTTTCCCAAGAGATCTATTTTCTCTGCTTCTAAAAAAGAATGGAAAGCCAAATAAACATAGTGCAGAAACATCTGATAAGACAGTGTATTCAATTTTATAAAATGTCAATCTTGTTTCTCTGAAAATACGGTTGTACATGTGCATTAAAAAAAACTTTTACATTTAGCCTTATAGTTAAGGAAGGGTTAAGGTCAAGGTTAAGTCAAACTCTATTGCAAGAAGTTTCTTTAAGACACGAGGAGGGATCAGATCTGATACAAACTCCACACAAAACAGTATCTGGAATTATTTTCATGAATACACATGGGTATGTTTGCATCTTTTAAGTGGTGTTACTAACTTTGTATTTTTTTTTAAAAAAAGATCTTGTTTATTTGAATTTATATGTCACCCAACTCCGATAGACTGGTATTAGTAATATAGAGAAAAAAACTTGTGTAATAAAATTGGCTCCTGCATTTTTGTTTTTGCTCACCGCTAGTGTGAAAATCTGATGTACAAAAGGTGTTTGCCTACAGCAGACATAATTAATTAATATAATATCTAGGCTGTGATTACAGTATGACTACATAAACTTTCAGAGGTAACTGTCAATAACCTTAATACTAACCCACTGGATGAGAAAAAAAGTATATGACAGCCAAAATAAGCAGATAAACTAAAACCAGCTGGATTAAAAAAGGAACAAAAGCAATAAAAATCATTTAATTGATTTATGCACTAATGTATAAAGTGTGCAGCACACAGGTAGTCCTCAACTTATGACCACCATTGAGCCTAAGATTTTCATTGCTAAGCAAGGCAGTTGTTAAGTGAGTTTGTACCATTTTATGCCATAGTTGTTAAGTAAATCATTCCAGTTGTTTAGTGAAATATGTGGTCATTAAGTAAATCTGGCTTCCCCTATTGACATTGTCGGAAGCCAGCTGGGAAGGTTGCAAATGGTGATCACATGACCCCAGGACAGTGCAACTATGATAAATACCCGCCAGTTGCCAGGCGCCAGAATTTTGATCATGTGACCATGGGGATGCTACAATGAATGTAAGTGTGAAAATGGATCATAAGTCATTTTTTTCAGTACCATTTAACTTCGAATGGTTACTAAACAAATGGTTGTAACTCAAGGACTACCTGTATTTATGCACTTAGTACTGGATGTTTATTAACCTTTCAAAGTTCCAATGGACCCCCACCCCAATGGACCCCCACCCCAACCTGGATTTGAAGGTCCCTTGACCAGCCCCCCCCAACCATATTTTAGGCACTCAGCAACCAGCCTGTATTTATGTCCGTTTGCAAAGTCCCACATTCACATGACTGGTGTTTGTTTGTTTTTTGCCAGAAACCAGTGTTTACTTCCAGTTTCTGCAAAAAAACTGCAGCAATGGAATTGCTTAACAACCATGGTGTTTGTTTAATCACCTGTGATCTACTTAGCAACTATCTCAAAGAAGGTCATATAATCAGTCCCGCACAACTTACCACTATAATTCTGGATGCAATTACAGCGGTAAATCAAAAACTATCTGTATTTCTAAATATTCAAAATACTTCATATGTGTTAAGCAATATTAATATAGTAAATTTTCATTTATATAAATTTTAGTTACAAAAACTAATATGGTTTTGCTCCTGCACAAGATCTCATCTAGTATTTTAAATATTTACAAAATACATACATTGAAATATTTGTAACAAAATATTTTATTTGATTGCATAACTAAACAATTAACAGTCTGCCCTTATAAACAAGTCTTATCTTAGTCTATTAAGCTCAGGGTTTACTGTAATTATACAATTAGAATTATTAAATAAATACTATAGCCCAATATACTGTATAGAGGTCACATCATACTATATAATGAAGTGATTTATTTGGCTTGGGCTTGACATGTTGTGTAAACTCAACTAACAAAAACTTAAATAGATTTAGCCTAACTTAATTTGCCTTGTAAATCCTAGAAATTTAACAACTGATTTCTATTCCATAGTATAATATAAAATATGCAGGACTATTTTTCACTTTTTTTTAAAGCGTGAAATTTAACCAGCCTGCAGGTATTCAAATGTTGACACCATATTTCAAATTGACCATTTTAACTTCTAATTCTATCGTTTGGTTTTTCTCTTCTTAGAGATGGGTTTGCAGGGAGAAAAATGGAATGGGAAAGGAAGCCAAGCCAACCATCAGCATTCCTGTTTTCTTCATTTAGACAAAGAAACAGCCATCTATCCATCCCCATTATCTCTATGCCCTTTCAGGTTAAGAAGTGTTATGCAAAATGTGGAAAGGAGTTAGAAATAGTAAGTAAAAATTATTCAAGATGTGAAATACGAAAAAAAGAAAGCAGACTTGAATCTAATGAGCACTACCATACCTTTCTATCTCTTTTAGGTCCATACACTGCTTCTCACACTGCCTAGAAAGAGGCCGGATACTTTTCTCCAGTGTCGGATCCAAAACTGGGGAGCCAAAATTGTCGTTTACTTTAATCAGCCATTCAGTGAATTAGAGGGATTCGTCCCCAAATCCTGCGTCATAAACCAAAAAAGCTGAGTTCACAAATTGTACAAAACCAAGCCAACCATATTCTGAACCTTCCCGCAGACTGCTTTTCTCTCATTGCAACATTTATTTCATCTCCAAGATGGTATTTATTCGGTAAACAGAACCTGTCTCCTTTCTTCCTCAATGTTCCTCATGTCTACAGCTATCTCCAAGTTTACATGGACATGATGACTAAGACGCTGAGCTTGTTGATTGAAAGGTTGGCAGTTCAGCAGTTCGAATCCCTAGTGCCGCCTAATGGGGTGAGCTCCCGTTACTTGTCCCAGCTTCTGCCAACCTAGCAGTTCGAAAGCACGTAAAAAATGCAAGTAGAAAAATAGGGATCTCCTTTGGTGGGAAGGTAACAGCGTTCCGTGCGCCTTTGACATTTAGTCATGCCGGCCACATGATCACGGAGACATCTTTGGACAGCGCTGGCTCTTCGGCTTTGAAACGGAGATGAACACCGCCCCGCCCATCTTGATCAACACCACATATGTGCGAAGGGAACCTTTACCTTTAGCCGAAACCATCTTATATTGTTCTATTCATCTGAAAAGTATCTCACTTTATCCCCCCCCCCCACGTGTCAAATTCTAAAATGTAAATTCAGATTATGGCACAGGGAACAATGCACAAAAACTACAGGAGTAAGTCAGCCATAAACCATTCAAAAGTTAGCACTGCAGAATTGGAGAGAGGAAGGGGAAAGGTTTCCGTAAACTAGAGCCAAGTTTCCAAAGACAACAGAGGAAGGGGACAATGGAAGCCTGAGTATACAAAAGCCCACATCTTTAGTTATTTATTATTATTTATTATTTAATTAAATTTCTATACCGCCCTTCTCCAATAGGACTCAGGGCGGTGCACAGCCTAAGTAAAAACAGAGCATACAAAATTTAAAAACAGTATTAAAATAATTAAATATTTTGGCCGTAATTAAAACAACCCAATTTAAAATCAATTTAAAATTTAGCTCAAGCCAGCCCAGCTAGTTGAAATAAATAAGTTTTCAGTTATCCTTCCTAGGACTGATCCTGATGGGTGAAAAGGGAAGTCTGTAATCTAAAATATTTGGACCACCAGCTTGGGAAAATTATAATGAAAACAGTGGTAATAAGAGTTTTTACAGGGCAGGTGAGCTTTCTGAGGATATTTAAAAGAGAGCAAGAAAAGATACCAGAAAAATTGTTCAGGAAGGCATTTTCTGGTAAAAGAAATCTCATCCCCTGAAATCAGCAATGCTCTTTACGGAGGCAATTGACCTGGGAGAGAGATCTCTTATTTGGACCTTGCAAATACTCTGGCTTGAGATGAATGGGATTTCCTGCCAGCCGCATTTTACTAAAGGAGAAGAGCCCAATAAGCGATTTCTTATTCTCTTCCACGAGGCTGGCATGGAGCGAAAGCCCCATCCCCCGCTGCAAATGCCCGACGGGACGAGCGAGACCCCCAGAAGAAGAGCCCCCGCAGCTGAAAGGCGGGAAGATCCCAATCGCCCGTCCCGGGAGAGTCACACTTACACCGGGACGCGCCAAAACTCTCCAACCCCGATCGCGATGGGAAGAGCGCGCAAGGCGAGCGAAGGGGACCAGAAACACCTCGCCTAGTTCTCAGCGGCCGCCTCTACGGAGCTTCTCCGGCCGCGGCCCGGACCTTCCTTCCTTCCTTCCTTTCCTCCCCCGCGAGGAAAGAAGGCAGGCAGGCCGGCAGACAGGCTGGGAGCCCCGATGGCAGCTGCGGAAGGAGGAGCCAGCGCGGGATGGCTCGGCCCTCCGGAAGCCAAGCCGCGCTGCTAGGGAAGCGCAATTGGGGAAGCCGGGAGAGGCCTTGCGTCCCCGGGGATTGCGAGGGCAAGAGACCCGCGCCGGATAGTCCGAGGCTGTTTTAGCCGGGAGGATCGGCATCCAAGCAGGCTGTGGGTGTCTCACGGGGGCCTCTCCTTGGCAACGGCCACAGCTCTCTGGGATGTGAACAGGGGCTCTTTCCCACGTTCACGTCATCTCGGAAGATGCCCAAGCCCTTGAGAGTCTTAAAACAGCATGTCTCGAACTTTAATAAACTCTGGAAGACCAAACGACATTTTTAAAAAAGTAAAATCAGGGACACTGAAGGTTACTTCTTTCTAAAAGGGGAGGAATGAATATTGAAATGGGACATATTTTTCATTAAGCAGCAGGTGGGGAATAAGAGAAGGTAACTAGATGCAGCTTAAATGTCTGTGGAGATTCCCAGTCATCCCAGTCATGGTTGTGATAGATGCAGCCTAGTTTGGACAGGGAATGAAGATTTAACAGGGAATCAGATTTGATGGGGAAGTTGGGGGATATCCTATCCTACAAGCAGCTCATGGAAAAAGAATTTATTCTTGCCAAGAATTTATTTATTTTTTATTTTTTATTTTATATTGGATTTCTATACCGCCCTTCTCCCTGAGGACTCAGGGCGGTGTACAGCCAGATTAAAAAAACATGCAGAACAAATATTAAAAACAATTAAAAGATATATAAATTTGGCCCAATTAAAACTCATTTACCAATTAAAAACGTTTAAAACATTTAAAAACAGTTAAAAATTTCATCTTAAGCCAGCCCGGCTTGTTTAAATAAATGGGTTTTAAGGGCGCGACGGAAGGCACTGAGGTCTTGGATTCTCCTTATCTCTGGGGGGAGCTGATTCCAGAGGGTAGGTGCCCCCACAGAGAAGGCCCTCCCCCTGGGGGTCACCAGCCTGCATTGTTTGGCTGATGGCACCCTGAGGAGGCCCTCTCTGTGGGAGCGCACGGGTCGCTGGGAGGTCGTCGGTAGCAGCAGGCGGTCTCGCAGATAGCTAGGCCCTATGCCATGGAGCGCTTTAAAGGTGATAACCAACACCTTGAAGCGCACCCGGAAGACAACTGGAATGCCCTGGATGAGTCTTCGGAGAAAGGCGACATACAAGTTGAACAAATAAATAAATAAATAAATCCACTAGTCACCAGCAGGGCATCTTCCCTTTTTAAATATTGTTATCCCACCTTTTCTTCAGCAGCTCAATGTGGCTTGTATTGGGATTTTCCTTTATTCACAGTAGCAAACAATTTTGCAAGGTAGGAAGGTCTGGAATGATTTTCCCAAATTACCCTGGGTTTTCCCAATCTTGGACCAATGTGTTAAAATACACTTATTATAAATCTTAATGAGACTTAAATACATGTGACAATATCATATCCACGTCTAGAATAATATTAAGACTGATTGAAACAACTGTATTTCAGTATTCGTTATTAATTGTAGTGAATATTTATTTTATTTATTAATTTAATTTATAATTTAATTATTAATACAATTAATCTTTCACAAAATGTATGTTGAAGCAAAGACCTCAGTGTCTTCTTTGGATATTGTTTGTGTGCTTTCATTCAAAACTCTTCTAGTGATGTCTTCTTCATTCTTGGATTCATTATTTGTTTCTTTAGTGAAATGTATCCAGAAAATCTTCTGTCCCATCTGGTTGAAATTGTTTCTGATTCAGGAACTTGTAGAATCTAGGTTGCAAATTCTGAGACATCTTTAGCTGTTTCAATGAATCAATGAAATTGGATTGTTATCAAATGCAAAATTGAAAATGTTCCTCCGGAGTCTCACTAGTGATACATGGAGTTTTTGTAACATTATACAACTACAGTACAATATTGTTAAGGGGATATATCACTAATGGAGACCATCTATTGCTACAGTAGTTATGGCAGCATAATTGCCTAGTGAAGAAATTTTCTAGCGATGTACTAAAACATCTGACAAAGAACTTTTAAATCCTAATTTAAGTGGATTGAAAGAAACAATACAGCCTATATTCAATTAAAACCCTTAATTGTTTAATTTTTGAGAGGGCAAGGAGTCATTGCCCATTTGCAGTTTTCAATTTGCACCAATATGCTCCAGCAATCTCTATATTCTTTTTACATAACATAAGTTACCGTATCTAGTTCCCAGTCCAGAATTAATTGGTCCAGTATGATTACGTTAAGTTCATTAAAAATAGTTAATTTCTTTCTTTAACCAACAGGATTTATGCCACTAAGACAATGTATGCCAAATATGTGCCACACAGCATCCTCTTTTGGAGACAACTAGATCAGAAGTGGGTATATCCAGAACTGTAATCATACTTTCTTCTCACTTGGCACAGCTTGGCATCCAATTCTACCATTTGAATGGCTTTTTCTCAGTGAAGAGTCCTTGCTCCCCTCTCTTTTAGAAATTAAAATAATTAAGGATTTTAGCTGAATATAGGCTCTGTTGTTTCTTTCAATGCACTTTTTCCTTTGGGAGTAACAAGTACCAACATTCCACAAGATAGCCAACTTGAGTATCTTTGTCGGCAAAAGTTTTGCCCAATGATGCACCAGTTAAACATTAAAGGGGCAAGACTTTTAATAATATATAGATATATAAATGCCAAAAATACAGCAAATAAGTTACTGTATTTTTCGGAGTATAAGACGCACTTTCCCCCCCCTAAAAGAGGGTGAAAATTTGGGTGTGTCTTATACACCAAATGTAGCCCCGCCCATGAGGCACGGAGGCAGCAATGGTCTGTGGCAATCCTTCAGCCTGGAACAGCTGATTGGGTGTATTCCCGCTAATCAGCTGCTCATGCTGAATCAGGCTGCAATAATGTGCTGAAGCTGACCTGGCTGTTCGCTATTTGCTGCAAGGACATGTCAGAGTTTGCAGCAGCAATTACATCCTGAAAGCACACACAAGTAACTGATTCAGCAGGATTCAAGAACTTCTCTTTATATATAATATAACACATGAAGTAAATATATAATACCAAAAGCAGGTTTTCCAACGTGGTAGTAAATACAAGCAAAACACAAGCAGAGGAGAGGAGTTTCAATTTCAGTTTCAGAGCTCAGCACAGCATGCAGCACAGCATGCAGTTGAGCTAAACCACGCCTAGGCTCCTTGCTGTCTCCTTGTTGCTCTCACTTTCAGTTTCCAAACAGCCTTCAACTCTCTCACACACTGACAGGACACTAGCCAGACGAATACCGACGGATGCTGGTAGGCAGAGGCAGATTTTTTATTTTCCTCCCCAAAACTAAGGTGCATCTTATACTCCAGAGCGTCTTATACTAGAAAAGTATGGTAAAATATGGTACAGTAGAACCTCTGGTCATGAACACTTCTGACCACAACCAAATCGGGTTCCGACCAAAAAATTCACCAATTTTTTTTTCCGCAGCCGATTTCCCCTTCCACACCATTTTTTTTGTAAGCGCCAAATTTCCAAAATTAGGTTCACAACCCAAATTGGGTTGTGACCAAAGTTATGGAAAGAATTATGGTTGTAACCAGAGGTTCTACTGTACCTTGGAAGAAAGCTTATTTAGGAGAGGAAAATGGAGAAATGTCAAAATGTGCAACAAGTGATAGAAAGGTAGTAGGTAGTCTTGTGAATAAGTTGTTGAAACAAGGTACTATGACTATCATAAAATTGTGTCTCTATCCTTTTTTTAATATGAAAGTGATACTTGAAGATGTGGGGAAAACCCTCCCTCCCGAGAATTATGAAATATTTTGGGGGGTATTAAAGAGGCAGAATATATTTCCCCAAAGGAGGAATGAAGAAACATGCTCTTAAAGCAGAAAGAATACCCAGTCTTTCTTAATAGCCTCCAGTAGATGCCTGAAGTTTTTAAGAGATGGATATTTTGTACCCATTAAGACAGACTGAGGCAGCCTATTCACAAACAAAACACCTTCACCTCCAGCGATGGATTAAAATTTGCATTCCCCCACCCAAATTCTAAGGCCAGGACATGACCTTTTAGGACATAATAGGTGTCAACCCTGAAGTTGGCTGAACTGTGGCCATGTTCTTTTTGGTAGCTTTTCTCTAGGGAGGTTTCTCTTCTCACTGCTTCAAGGCTGACACAACCTGGAGTGAAGGGGCCAGGGAGGAGGGTGTAGAGATAGCTGGGGTGCTGTAGCCTAATTAAAATTCTTTCCCCTGGGAATCAAGGACGTTGGTGCTGGTGTTCGAAAGGTGGAGACTGAGGTCACCTAGCAACTGGACTACATGCTGATTGGACCATATCACTGAAGACTCTCGGGGGGGGGGGAGAAGTGACAAAAGTTTTACTGTTAATTGGGTGTAAAACCGGTGGGAACTTGCCAGTTTTCCACCAGGAATGTGCCAATTTGATATGTCCCAATAAAATGTTGACGAATTTGCCTGCTTCTGAGTTCTTATTGAATGAGATGTATTACTTGAAACCTTGATTAACCCACCACCATTGAAATAGCAAGAGACACAAAAGCCCCTTCATTGCACAATCCCAAGAACAGTTCAAACTTCAAAGTCACAGAAACCTATAAAGATCCATCCACTTTCTCAGATTTTGCCCTCCATTTTATTTCCAGAGCCTTTCTCCCGGCTTGAAACTGAGCCGGATGGAATTTTTTTCTTACAGGTAGGGCATGACTAACAAAAAAGTTGAGTCCAGTGGGAATGTGGTACCTAAGAAGGTTGTGCAATGACAGATGAGCATCAATAACTAATAGGTACCGATTAAACTATTATGAACACTGTACACTGCAAAATAAATATATCGAGGAGGAATGAATGAGTCAGCAGAACGAAGATCAAGAATTTTGTGGTTGGATGGAGTTGAAGAGATCTTCAGAATAAAATATGAGAAGTTTAAAGAACAAAAGACAATATAGAAAGCACCGTATGAACACTGGGAAGTATAATAAATAATGTTACAAACTAGGTTTAACTATATTTCATTTTGTTATGTTCTGTCTTTAATTTCTTTGGCTTATTATTAATACTTTTTGCTTACCTTAAAAGGGAATTGTGATAATTTTGTATCACCATATGTACCCATAAAAATCCAACCCATGCATTGAGA